AGAGACCCTGCCCGAAACGCCGCAAGTTGCCCTGTGAGCTTAAGCAGACTTCCGCCATGTTCAGTGTTCACTGTACGGTGTGCGGTGGTCGGCACTCAGGGGCTGTGCCCATTGGAAAATGATTGACAGACGATTGGCATGATTTTGTATAAACAAATGCCCCAAGTCGAAGGCGCAAAAAATGTTTTAAACGAAAACTCATACACAAAACACACATACAGACACACGCAGGCACACACACACAACACACATACGTACTCTAACAATACACACACCCGCACCTAGCGTGAAAATGGAAAGTTGGGCGTTTGGTTTTCATTTTGTGTGAAGCAACTAGGAAAAAAGTTTATTTAAAAACTAATTGAAAACTGCTTGCCTGTTGGCTACGACTTGCCACGGTTCGGTTCAGCTGCTTCTTCTGGGGCACCCGCCCATAGCCTCCGCCTAGTTCCATAGTTCCCAGTCAAGTGCTCGTTGTTTCGTATATTTAGCTACGCGTTTCTGGCCCGAATAATGAAAAAACAATTCGTTTCTCTTATATTTTTTTTATTTTTTATTTTGTTGTCTGTTTGAAAAGCAATTTGTTTGTTTTCTTTGCTATCGCTAACAGTATGGAAAAGTGCATTTTGTTATTGAAATTTATAAATGCAATTATAGCATATTATTTCTATTTATTATTCCAATCAGTTTTCTTGACCTCTTCCATATGATGCCATATTTATTATTTGTTTTTCTTTTATGTAAGCCAAAAATGTTCAAAACTGTCAAATTAAACTGCCAGTTAACATTTTGCGCTTTCATTTATAAGTATACATCTTTTTATTTCTTTCAGTTGAAATTTGGGCATGAAATAAAATTTATTGTAAGTAAGATATAAGAACATGGGCAGACTCTTTCTTATATGATTCTGGAAGATAGAAACGAATTTTCTTTTTAGTATATGTGCTATTCATGCTGATAACATTTGATTTAAAGAATACAAGATTTAAAGTTTGTATCACAATTTTATTGAACATATAAATGATGAGCGGAAAATAGGAGCCGGGGTTACTTGATAATGATCTAGAAATTATGATAGACAAGGGTAAAGGGTTGTATTATCACAGAAATCATGCCTTTCGTTTTAAACGAACAAGGTTATGAATAAAAATGTATACAACAGGAAGAGGGATTCTTTGTTCTTATAAAGTTTATAGGTTCGATTGACCCAAGTCTGCCTGGCTGTCTGTTTGTCGACTGTCCGCCTGCTCGTACGTATTTTAATGCTAATTACAAAAGCGAACTTAGGGATAAAGGTGAAAAAGGACAGCCGCAGCGTAGACAGTGCATCAAGTGGCATCTTTTAGCAAATGGTCTTCCATTAAACGCATTTGAAATATTTATAAGTAGTCAAAATGCAACTTGGTCAGGCTTCTCGGGTTGGCTCCTCCGACTCTGTTGATGGGTTAGGGGTGACAACTGAGCGTAGGTGGTTAACTTGTCTCGCTTCTGAATGGCTCGTGCCTTGAACTATGTGCATGTGTGTGCACTTCTCTCCCTCCATTTCTCTCTGTCCCTCTCTTTCTCTTTCTCTCTCTCTCTCTCTCTCTCTCTCTCTCTCTCTCTCTCTCTCTCTCTATCTCCTTCACACTCTCTCTCCCTCTGTCTCTCTGTGTGTGGGTAAGAAAAGCCAGCAGGAAACTAAAAATGTTTTGTATGTCCGTATAAAGGAAAAATCGCAAAATTTACTGCAAATTGGAATTTTGCGCAATTGTAGAAAAAAATGTGGCAAGCAGGGCAAACCAACTAACCAGCCAACCAATGGCAACTGTAGCTAAACATTTTCTTTTTCCGGCGTGTGGTAGGAGGAACAGGGCGAGAGGAGCTTTGCCTTGCAATAATAACAACATACGTCTGTCTGTCCGTCTTTCTGTCAGTTTGTCTGGGCTAAAGACGCAGTGGCTCCTGCATCCTTTGTACTTCGTCCTGCAGCCGCTCGTTGCCAGCGCTTTAAGCCAATAATAAATAAAAATGCTTGTTACAACGCTACCCAAGCCCCAATGCCCGATTCCCGATCCCCGACCCCCGGACCCCTCATTCATTACCCACCCGCAGCGAGCAACGAAAATTGCGACGGCTTCGAATTTATTTGCCCAGCACAAACTTATAGAGGGAGGACAGCAGAGGGGCAACCGAGAGGGCGATGGACGGTTCCATAAAGTCGCCAAAGTTATAGTGAAAATTAATTAAGTTTTGCGCTGCGCTTAACAATTCAATTAAAAAATACGCGCCGCTTTATCGTCCCGCATAGTAAGTACTACAACAAAAAGCACTTTGGCGGACCGGCTACCCAATCCAGATGCAGTCCAACACCGAGTTGCCCCAATCTCTGTAACACGAGTGTGCCGCTCAAGTGCCACAAGTGCTTTTGCACATCGTTATTATAACAATAATAAGCAACAGCCGCAACACTAGCACCAACACCAACACCAACAACAACAACAACAACAACAAAACGAACAACAACACAAAAATCAACATTTATGCGGCTCTGGGCAAAGATTAATTGTGTGTTTTGGTTTGCCAGATCCCTGCCACGAAATGAATGTAAAATTGGAGCACACAGCCAAAGAAATGACTTCGATTCGAGAGTCGAGAGTGGAGAGTCGAGAGTCTTTGGCGCAAAGTGCAATCCACTTGAAGGAATTTACATATCAGCAGCAGATACCGACGGCACCATCGTTCCGCCTCAGCCTCAGCCTCAGTCTCAGTCTCAGCGTCAGCATCAGCTCCCCACCTCTGTATCTGGATGTGCCTCAATGTTGCAGCCAAATGCATTAATCAATTTCATGTTTTCTTAAGCGCGCGCCCGGCGCGATTTGAGTGCTCCGCGAATGATGCCGCCGACTTTGCCTGCGTCCGCCTCTGCATCCGCGTCTGGGGACGCTTTACGTATGAGTGGAATAATCAATTTCGAGGATCATAAACAACTTTTAATGAAGTTGTTAAGTGCCAGCAGCTAGTTGCTCAATGCGCCCTGCCTAAAGTGCAGCTCGCCGCCATGCCCAGCCCGATAAGCAGGCCAGAAGAAGCCAACAGAGCAACTGCATCCATAATGGACTCCGGTTCTACTGACTGTTTGCGTCGCCTCTCTGACTGGTCAGAGCGAAATGCCACCACAATCACGCATTTCCATAATTGCTAAATTATGCAGACCGCTCCACGAAGCTTAGTGGAAAGCAAGGCCCATCAAAATGACCAACAAGTGCGCCTTTTGGGGTATTCTTTTGTTTTGGAATTTTTTTTTTTTTTCGTTTGTTTCTGGTAAATTAATTTTACAACTTTTAATGCATACACTTGTGCGTTTCTTCCGGGTAAGGGTATGCCATCTTTATGACTCAGTTAAAACTGACAATGGGACTGAAACAGAAGCTTAGATTTCTCCATGGACTCCTATTTAAAAAACGTTTCGTTTTCTGGTTCTTTGTTAAGTCAATTCAATCAACTAAACTCAGGGAATATTTAAACATAGTAGTGTACAAAAATGTAGCACTTTTCTATAACAAATGCAAGCTTCTGAGCTTTTCGAGCATTTTGTGAAACTATTAAATTGTTTCATCAAATTTTCAGATTCTAAGGGCATTCGGTATTCTGCTTGCCTCTGTTTTATGTTGTTTAACATCAGCTTTTGTTTTATGGTCGTGTTTAGAAAATCAACCACACAGCTGGCTGTCCAGTCGACCACTCAACATACGTCTCCATCGGCGACTAAATTAATCAAAACGAACTTCCGGTTTACGCAAAATGGCGTGAAGTCTGCCACCATGAATGTGTGTGTATTCTGTGTGTTCGCGTTTTAGGCATGTGCTTCTGTGAAATTTTTCAGTGCTGTTGAAAATTAATGAATGAGTTAACTGAAAAATTAATGAAAAGCCAGCAGGAAAAACAGGTGAAGCAAGTAGGAAGGGAAAGCAACAAAGAGGCAAAGGTGTTGTGCGAAAGATAAAGCATGGAAAATTTATGAAGCAACCAGGGAGAGGAACTCGCTGTCATAGCTTCCAAGTTAGACATTCATAGACGCACTATGTTTGGTGTTGAGAAATATTTGTTTTGGCACATTCAGTTCGGAGCAGGGTCGGAGCGTGAAATTATGCAATATTGGGCCAGCCGGGCTAGGCTGGGCCAAGTAGTTCATGGTACGGACCATGGACCGTAGGCCGCAGCTAAGGTATGTGGACCTGGTTTATTTTGTTTGCATGTGCGCAGCCATTTGGGGCTTCCTGTTTGAGGCAAAGAAGGCATTTGAGTTACTTAAGTGTAACTAAAACTTAAAGTAAACACACAAATAACATACTTAATATTAAACAAAAATATACAAAATCATATGATGTTGCTGCCGGTTATGATGATGACGATGAGTATGATGATGCCGAGGCAAAAAGGAAAACAAACGCCAAGCGGAAATGCTGAGAGTGGGAGTTGGCAGTGGCGGAGATGCAGATGATGATGGTGATGGTGTTCCCATGCAAACAAAAGATAAAAGCCCCAGAAAATTTAAATTAACCAAAAATTATGCATGAACATTACCAAAGCCCATAGCCAAAGCCAAAGCCAAAGACTGCGTATGACAAATATTAATTTTGTTTATAAACCACAACAAGCGAGACAGAAACATTTTGATACAGAGCGAGAGGCAGAGAGGGAGAGAGACAGAGACTAAGACTGACCTGACTTGTCTTAAACGGCAGCCACAAACAATGTCATCCATATGATTATCATTATGTTTAAGCAGCAGCCTGGCCAACCCAGAGCTGCTCTCAGCCAGAGACAAGTAAAGTTATTTAATGCTCACTTGACAAACATTATGTACAGAACAGAACAACACAACTGGCCAAAATGAGCAAACACAATGTTGAGCTGTGGTGATGCCGCCTAGTGCTGTGGCAATATTGACATAAGTTGTAGACCAAAAGTCGACTGGCTAAACTAGAGTCTTCGGTTCTTTCTCTTTTTTCTTACAGGTGATGCCAGCAACGCCAGCATAGGCAGCGGCGAGGGCACCGGCGAGGAGGACGACGATGCGAGTGGCAAAAAGAACCAAAAGAAACGTGGCATTTTCCCAAAAGTAGCAACAAACATATTGAGAGCGTGGCTGTTTCAGCATTTAACGGTAAGTCCAATCAAAAAAAAAAAAAAAAATACACCTGCACCAATCACAGCCCCAAAAAGCCCAAAGCCCCTCACCCCCACAGCCTATCGCGTTCTCCAGTTAGATTCGCTAAAACTCTACCGGACGGGCGCTTGCCCCCGTTTGTTATTAGTCTGCGATAAGCCCCATATTTGATTTTGGCCACCTTTTTTCCATGCTGCCTTGATAAGATTACTGTCCCAGTTCCATGCCCAATAGGCGCTTTTTCAATGGGCGTGGCTACACGAGGTGTTGTAAACGTTAATTGAAGGCGGACCTAAATGGAGCACGACAAACATAAGTCCGCAGATAAGATAATAAGATGTGCAAACTAGAAATTGATGATCTGCCCGACTGTCGAACGGGTAGCTCCCTTAACTTAATTCGTCTCAACTGCGCAGTAAAAATAAAAAACATGTATAAACTCATTCGCATGCTTATCAAAGGCAATGGAAACAGACTGAGCAAATCAAACAACCGCAACGGAACAGTTAAGTAACCATTTAGGCCAGGTTCCCAATTTTGGCTGCTGTATGCGAACTGGATATGTAGTCCAAAGAGTGGCTTATGGCTCGGTCATCGCGTCCAATTAGATTTCCATTTGAGCCATCAAAGTGCTCAGATAAATGGCATTCGGACTGTCCCAAAATGCGATACTAAAAGCGAATTGCCAAAGCTAAAAACTATTCAACAGAAACCTGGTCAGCCAAATCAAAGTTCAGACCGGAAAGTCCAGCGTGCCGGATGTCTAATACAAATAAACAGATTTGTTATGCGCCACTTTATGTTAAGCAGAAGGATGCAGGATACGTACAAGAGTTTCAACCGAGCGTAAGGGTTGTTCTCGAAAAGTAAAAAAAAATAAAAATAAAAAGAACAAAACTATAAGATTTTATGCGCTACGGTCAAGCGGCTGTTAAGGAAGTTTAAACTGCTGCGCTACATTTTGGCCATTAGCCACATTCGCCCTTCGCTTGCGGTTGCTGCGTATGTAAAATGATAAAAATCTTAATGGAATTTTATAAAAGTGTGCGTGTGTGCATGTGTGTGTGTGTGTGTGTGTGTGTGTGTGTGTGTGTGTGTGTGTGTGTGTATAGGCTAACGACTAGGAGTCTGCAGTGACCAACACCCAAGACAGACCCCGAAGGGCAGCCACAGGCGATAAGCAAACAAATCGGAAATTAAAGTTGAACGCTGGAATGTTTATCTGCTCTGGTCCAGCATCCAGTAATTTTTCTGGCGCAGTTTTAAAATAGCTGAGCTGATGCGCCACCCCCACAAGAAGCGGCATTAGCCTACCCCCCGCTCAGAAGCGCCCACCCTCTGACATTGATGGATTGCCGTTTAAATCAGCGCATCACTCATGTTTACCCGGCTAAGGCGTCACCGACTTCGGCTCGATTTTCACAGCCTCCGCGGCGGGCGTCTGCATATCCTTGACTGAATTTCTTTTTTCTTTCGGTTGCTGTTGCTTTTGTTGTTGTTAGCTTAATGCTATTAACAGTTTGGGCACATTAGGGAAATTGTTTTTGTTCGAACTTTAATTTTGTATTCAAAGTCGCATTTAGATAATGCAAATGCAATGCTTGCCAATTTGATTTATCACCCGATTTCCATTGGCATAATTAACAGTTTTCCAGACATCGGCTGCCAAGTGAAACTCGATGCCAGCTCGTCAAACTAAATGCATGACCGGCACAGCCATTGCCAACATGCGCGACACGGATGGCGTTGTCGACTATGGCAACGATGGCAACGATGGCGACGATGGCGACGATGGCGACGCTGGCGTTGCTAAAGTCGTTAAAATCCAGACCCCAAATAAGACGACGATGACGTTGGTGCTAATGAAGTGCACTGCAGTCTGCTGGGGAACCGGGACTGCAAATGGGGACTGAGACTGGGGCTGGGTTAAGCGCGCACTGGCTGGCCAACCAAAAACAAAAGGCAGCCAAACAACAGCCGAGGAACGAGGGCAATGCAATGCATGGCTGCTTTGTTGTTGTTGCTGATTGCTGCATTCATGTTGCTGTTGCTGTTGCTGTTGTAGTTGTTGCTGTTGCTGCTGTTGTTGCCATAATTATGGCAGGCGCGCGAATATTTTGTTTACATTTGGCGCGCATTGCAGACAGGCAACGGCAACAACAGCTAAGGCAACGGGCAATACCAACGAGCAAAAAGTTTCATTTCGCGTGCTCCGCCTACTCGCTGCCACATGTGCCCAGTCGCTAGTCCCGTTCCCGGTCCCGGTCCCAGTCACATATGCCAGATCCCATGCCCCTTTCCATGTGTGCGGCTCGCAATTTTCTTCCGGCCGCCTGCCGCCGTCTGGCGTCTGGCGTCGCTTGAAGCTTGTCGGCTTCGGCTTTTCGATTCAGTTTGCTGTTGTTGCGACTCCGCGTCGTTGCAGTTGCCACACTAAAAAGTAACCCCCGAAAAAAGCGCAAAATGGCCAAAACGGTAAACGCGGCGCACGGCAAGGGGAGCGGCTTTTGCAAGCGGTTGCATTGTTGTCAGCGCTCATGTTACATGTTGCAGCCCACGGTGGCGGCGTCAGCGGCGGCGCTTGGTGTGTGGCACGTTTATATTGTGGGCGAATACGAACTCAAGATGCGCTACAGCAGTAAATGACGACAGATTGCCACAACTACCGAAAAGTTTCTTAGAGGAATGTTGTTGAGATCAAACATAAAGAAGAGCCAATGCATTAGGTCATGCCAGAGGGCAGTCGAGTAAAATAGAAGTGTGGCACTTGCACAGTTTAACCCTTGCTTGCCTCCCAACAGCCTCCTCTTATAGGCATAATTAATTCTCCTACCTTTGTCAGTTTCTTGACCCTTTCACACACTCGCGCACACATACTGGCCGTAGGGCATCTTTATAACTTTGTGTATGCCTCGCGATTGTTGCAAATTATTATTTTTTGCCTCAACATGGTGACGCCGACGACTTTGAGGATGAGGACAAAGTTGCGATTATCTCTCCCTACCTCTCTCTCTCTCTCTTTACCTCTTTTGCTCTACCTCTATTTGCTCCGCAGTCACCCTGTCTCTATCTTGCTTTCCACTAGAGTGGAAACACTCATTTAGGTCTGTTTAGACATGTAGTGCAACTGGAAAAAATCTTCATAATGGCTGCCAGAGGCCGACTTCATCGTCGTCGTCGTCGTCGTCGTGGTCGCAATGCAATTTTCATCGCCGCCGACGCCGCAGCAATTTGCAGTTGCTTGTTGTTGTTGGTTGTGGCTGTTGCTGTTGGTGTTGCAGCTTGTTTCACAAATGGCGTCGCATTTGGCGTTGTTAATGGCGGCGGCGTCGCTGGCCGGCTGTACGTGTGCATTACCGAGCCAGAGCCGGAGCCGGAGTCGACGTCTTGGGCTTGTTGTGCCATGTGTCACGGCATTGCAGTCATGTTGACATCATGTAGGGAGGGAGAGCAGTGAATAGGGGGGCGAGTCACAGAGAAAGATAGAGAGAAAGAGAGAGAGAGGGGGGGGGGGGGTGGGAAGAGGGGGATATGGACCTAGGCCTATGCTTGAGGTTGCATGGCACTTGTCGACGTCACTTGAGGAGGGGGCTTATATGTATATGCATATAGGGTATAACTAAATACACGTGTGTCTGTGGTGATTGTTTCAAATTCACTTGCCAAGTTTAAATAAACACAACACGGGCGCAAATATGTGGAAAAAGTGGAGCGAGTTAAGCGACTAGACAAAAGCAAAAACATTGGCCCCGAGGCGAGGGAAAGAGCCAACGAAGGCATAACCAGAACAGGCGAAAGGGAGGCAGTAGGGGCCACGGCGTCGACATGGCAAAAGCAACTTAAAGGCGTGACAGTAATTAATTATTTTGTCGTATGGTAAATTAATAAACCAAATGGACTTTGTTTCACTTGACATGTTTGCGCTCGCCTGCTTGGTTAGCTTTTGAGGCTGTCTGTCTGTCGATAGTTGTGTGTGCCTGTGTGTGCGTATATACGTATGTGTTTGTGGTGTGCGAAATGCATAATTGCTTACATTAGCGTAATTGGAGCGTCACTGTGTAGCTGCCGATGGAGCCACCATCAACTGCAGCAGTAGGCGTCGAAATGAAAATAGCGCGACGGCCATTAATGTGCTTTTGATAAGCTACAGACAGGCTGATAATGAACTTGATCAACCATCTGGAGGTAGTCTAAAAGAGGTTGCAGATGGTGTAAGTAGAGTATGAAATACCACTCTTCCCTTGACCGGCTTGTGACTAACAACTAGCTGGCTCCGCAATAATGTCAACCTCAGCCAGAGAATAGATAGAATGCATATTCAGATGGGTAAAAGCATTTCTCTAAATAGATGAACGCCACAAAGTATGCTATAAATTCCATTTTAATTTACCTGCATGTAATTTATGCCTTTTGACTTCTTGAGCATTCTATGCCCCAAAGCGAGGTGCAGCAGCAACAGCAGTCACGACTGGGACTGGGAACTTTGCCATTGGCATGTCCATTGTATTTACATGGACATCTACGTTTATTTGTCAATACACAAATTTCATATACTAGTTTTCGTATTGGCTATTGCCAGGAGTTGAACTCGAAGCGGGTTGGAGGCGGCGGTGGGCGTGCCACTTGGCCTGTGCAGGACAGCAGACAAATATTGCTGCCCGGACACGTACACACAAACACAAACACACACACACACACATAGAGATAGACGCATAGACAATATCTACAACAAGACAACACGCAAAATTTATTAAACACAAACAATAAGGCAAATGCATTAAAGGAGTCGGTGGAGTGGCAGCGGCGGAGGGGGCAGGGCCAGGCAACAGAGGACAGGCCAAAATGGGTGTGCACGGCAAGGACAACAAGGCAACTAAATTGCATTACAGACATTACGCAGGACATGCTGCCCAAGCCGACAGACAGAGGATAGCAAGACAAGCGACAAGGATGTGCAGCGTTGCACATTTCGAATGGAATTCGAAATTCCTGGCACTTGAGCACTTGCATATTGAATACTGAATGCCCAATCTACAACATATACAATGTACAATATATATTGGTATATAGCTAGATATTTATTTGTATATGTACATTTGTATATAACTGACAGTCCATATATTTTGGGGCACTGTGTGGATAAGAAAACGGTACATTTCAGTGGCACAACAATTGCTTCCTGTATGTATGGCAAATTGCATGTGCAGACATCTGCGAACTGTGAGTACATCGCTCAAAAGTTCAATTGCCGGCAACCGCAAAATCACAATACACAAACCAACAGACGACAGGACGAAGCGACGACTGAAATTGAGGCAGTGTCCTTTGGCTGAGGAGTGCCAAAATTGAAACGCCCACAGCTGCCGGAAATGTAGTCGCATCCAAAGAGGGTTAAACAAAGCCAACGCGACGCATGCGCCAAAGGATCGAGTCGAACAAAGAAATAAGCGAAGCCCAAGCCGAATCCGAAGCCAAAGGCAAAGCCAAAGCCAATCTCAATTTCAATGGCAAAGCCAAAAGATTGACAGCCATTTCCGCCAGCTCCACAGAAAATAGTTAGTCCAGGTGTGTGCAGAGCAGAAACTTCAGGCTGGCTTCCAGATCTCTTTTCAGTGGGAATGCGTTGAGTCAATATTAGAAATCTATGGAGCGCACAAGCAACGACAACAGCTAAAACAAATAGAAAATTGTAATAAGCGCCAGCAGCGGCAGCCGATTAGATTAGCGCTGGAGAGGGAATTGCCACGGCGACTGCTGCATACAACATGCTCCTGCACACCCACTTGCATTGGTCGGTGCAGGGTGCGGGGTGGCCTATGGATGGGGCGGGGTGGGCTGGTCGGGCGGTCTATTTGCTCACTGACGCCACTGTGGCGGCGCGCCGGCTGCAAGATTTATGAGGAGTAACGGCCAGCGGTAGTCCCCTCCCGCCACCCACTCCAAGCACACGCGGTCGTGCCTTTGTTTGCCTATTTGGCGCTACCGAAACCCGGCTGTAGTTGGCCCAGACCGACAAAATTGAGGACATTTTGAGTGGCAGCGCTGATAAGCGCGAAACTCCATGCGGCTGACTGGAATGGGGTGCACTCACTGGTCAGAGATCCAGATAAACATTCCATCCAAAGCAAGAGAACCCAAAAAACAAAAAACAACATAATAAAATAAATAAGACAGTAGTTTCGGAGGGAGCGCATTTCAAGTGCACCAGCGCCGCCCGGTGACAGGTTAAATTTCGCTCTATATATATGATGGTATATAGTTATATAGCACCCATAGCAATGATTGATCGATTGTCTATGCTTCACGTACTCCGTGCTGATAGATTGTAAATCTTCTATCCCTTTCTATTCTGTTCCAGCGACCGTTAATTGAATTGTGCGTGCTGCACATTAATTTATCGTGATTTTTTTCTTCTTTTTAGCATCCGTACCCATCCGAGGACCAAAAAAAACAGTTGGCGCAGGATACTGGCCTAACGATACTGCAAGTTAACAATTGGTAAGTTGACACCATTAAAATTCCTGATCAAACATTGAAAATTGAATTGTTAAATACCTAGATACATTTAAGTACAATTATTTTGAATATGTAGAAAGTTGTATAGATGACATCTTTTATGTACCTGATATTGCTGACAAAAATTTTCGTTCGTGCTGTGAGTGCGATTCAGTGTGCCTAACTGTTGGCCGGGCCACAATTTACGGCTTAGGATAATACAAGACTGTTAGTTGCACGCTTTATGCCATTTGCTGGTGAACCAGAACCAAGACTCGAGCGAGAACCAGATCACACACACCAAAGCTATCATCTTACAGAAAGCAGCCGAGCAAATTTATAAGGCAGCTTGCGCCTACGCCAAAAAGCTGAGCAGCCCGACACTGACGCAACCTGCCCCAGGCAAAATGTGGCACAAAAAGTTATGGGGCATGTTGCACGAATAGATGGCAGCGGGACAACGACAAGCAAACAAATCCTAGCGAATGCTCCAAGCTCTCAGGCAAAGATGCAGAACTTGACGGTGACTTCATCAAATTTTGCACATTATGCGACATGCTGCAGAACTTGACACCTGGCAGCCAATGCAGAAGACAAGACAAGCTTCTAAGCTGTAGCTGTAGCTGTAACTGCCTCGTAGGTGCACGAGCTGCAGCCAGATTCAGGATGGGAAACAGTGTCTCAACAGTAGGGGCATTTGGTAAGGGGGGCCTAGCTACAAAAGCTTGAGAGCCAGTTAAAAGCGTTGCTGAATCTTTTATGCAGTTGGGGCAACATGTCTCTGGCATGGAATGCTTTTAACCAGGGACAGGCCATAATAAAATCTAGCGAAAAATGTGTGAGCCGCAGTTGGAGCCTGGAGTGGGTTGCCCGAATGTCATTGCCGGGGCTATTGGGTGAAGTGGTGGAGTGGTCGAGTGCTGCTCTAACGCAGGCACTCAGCTCAATTAAATTGAATTTCGCGCTCACTGAAGCACACTGCAAATTAACAAATACGAGCGGCGGCGGCAAGGACTGCTAAGGACTGGCAAGGACCCCTGCCCATTTCGCTTAAGCACGCAACGCTGCGTAGACAACCGCGATAAGACAGACGGAGAGAGAGAGAGAAAGAGAGAAAGAGAGAGAGAGAGACAGAGGAGAGAATGAAAATATAGAGATAGACGGCAGGGAGAGGGGGAGAGAAGGACCAAAACAGAAAAAAAGGCAACAACCTTAGCAGAAAATAGCAAAATAAAATGTTGACACTTTTGGTTATTTATGGGCTGGCAGACGACACCTTCGCCAAAGCACTAATCCATGGGGAATGGCCATGGGCTTCGTGCAGCCTGGTGGAGCACCACCGGCAGCTAGATAAATATGTATTTATTTTGCGCAATTTGAGGAGAAAAAAATAAAAAGGAAACTGCGTAAGCAGCAATTCAAATGACCAGCAGAAGGAGAGAGTGAGAGAGAGAGAGAGAGAGAGAGAGAGAGAGAGAAAGAAAGAGAATAAAAGTCCATTAACACCCAATAAGAATAAGAAAGAAATGTAAGGACGGCTGGACAGTATTCAGTTTTGTTGCTGCTTACTGCGGTAATCGAAAAAGTTTTGTTGTAGCCAAGTTTTAAATATTAACGCTTACTTACAGCTGCAGAGCTGGAAAAAAGTTATAATTATGGCGTAAGTACATAAATAACGCTGCAAATGTGCCGCTTTTCTTTTCTTATTTTTTTACTCAGTCTTACTCTGCTTGTGTAGGTGGTTGGTGGTTGGAGGGTGGAGGGGGCATATTGTTGGTAGGTGATTTGGATATACAGCATAAAGCCGAACTGGCTGCCACATGCCACATGCTCACTGTTCATTCAGTTTGCAACCAGGCAGCCAATCAAGTCAGCAGCCAGCGGCCAAATCGATTTGCAGCTTACATCGTCTCACATACACTTCCCTCTCTCTCTCTCTGTCTCTATCTCCCTTTCTCTCTGCCTGTCTCTTGAAAGGTTCCAAAAACGCAACGGAACTCAATTCCATTTTGTCGTTTTGATAAACGATTTCAGGGCGTTGCAACAATTTCCGCCTCAAAATGAGCAAAGCCAACAGCAGAAATGAACTGCAAATTGAAAAAAAAAAATATATATATATACATATACAAAAAAGAAGAAGCTTATATGTGTTCATGAAGGGATTTCGTTCCAGAGGGAGCCCTCAGTGCATTAACCTTGGATAAGTTTCAATGAGTTAGCTCATCGTTGTTTTTGGCTAATGTCTGACTCGTTTGTTATTATTGTTCTTGTTATTATTGTAGGATTTTTTTCATACTCTCCTTGGTGTGCGTGTGTGTCAACCTATGTGGGTAACATCGTCCGAGCCACAGCACCGACTGTCACTCCGAACAACGGGCTATGACGATGGCGGCTTTTTGCTTTAATCATTTCATTTCTCTGGCTTTTTCGTCGCTGATCCTTCACGCAGCGGATCAGCAACTGCAGCGACGGCCTGCTTATTATTTCTTATTGCATTTATTAAACGACAATCATAACCAAAGTCGGCATTGGGCTTTGTAAAGCCGGCCATTCCATTCTCCACTTTGCGTCCCCTCTTCTCCATTGCCCCTTTTTCCATTGATGTGCCCGACTGGCCGAGCAAAAAGTGTGGCCAAGATTTGGTTTAGTTTATGGCTAAGTTGCGCACATAAAGCAGGGAGCTGCAAATCCCTGCAGTCGAAGAAACAGCCGCCACTGAAATAGTTTATAAATAATTCATAAATGCATTTGCTGTGTTGCGCTTAATTAAAAACTATAACTAAAATCTCAACCCATTTTTTTCGACTCTTTCACAGGTTCATCAATGCGCGGCGAAGAATTGTGCAGCCAATGATTGATCAATCGAACCGAGCAGGTAAATATCCAAAATCCCACTAAAATTAAAAAAATATCCATAACTATGAAATGGCGCAGAGCAAAGAAAACCCAATTAGGAGCTTTGTCTAATTTCGAACGCGATTTCTAATTATGTGCATTTTTTTCTTTTGTTCTGCCCATGCAACTTTCAACAGTTTATACACCGCATCCAGGTCCCTCCGGTTATGGTCACGATGCCATGGGCTACATGATGGACAGCCAGGCGCACATGATGCATCGTCCGCCCGGCGATCCAGGCTTCCATCAAGGCTACCCGCACTACCCGCCCGCTGAATACTACGGACAGCACTTGTAATCCAGCGCAAGCAACGAGCACGGGCCAAATGCGGAAGCCTTAACTGGAGTCGAAGCTCTCACTGACACTGAAACTGATGCCCAAGCGGAAGCGGAAGTGGAAGGCGATGGCGATGGCAAAGGCGAGTGCGTACCCGCAAGCGGATGTTGAGCAGCACGCTGATAGCGACAAAGCCAAAATCATAGCTTAAACTTACTACTACATACTAAAACAGAGCAGAGGAGCCGATCAGGACGAAATGAGAGTGGCCAGGACCTTTGAACCGTGTAACTTACAATACCGAGTGGCAATATCAGTCAAGTAATAGAGCAAAGTAATACTGTAGTAAAATCTTAAATACAAAAGCAAAACAAACAAAAACATAAGATATTAGCTAATCGAAAGGCAGGCACAACAACAGAATCACCAACATCAACAGCAGCAGCAGCAACAACAACAACAACAAATAACAATTTAAGAGAAACTTCTTGTGTATACTTTTAACATAAATAACAAATACAACAAGCAACAAAAAAAGAGAAAGATATTTATGCATAAACAAAATGAAACGCTTAGCTCTAAGTTAAATAAACGAATCAGAACCAACAAACACCTGCACACACACACTCAAACACACACACACACATACACACACACAAGCTTGCTAATTATATATCCTTTATGCAAATTTTTACTTTCAAAAAGCTACAAAAGGCAAATGCAAATGCAAATATTTCAAAGAATGAATTTAGGCGCAACCCAAAACGAAATAGAATTTAAAATTGAAGCTAAAGCAATAAATATGATTTGGTGTATCAACTAGGTTTTAATATGAATAACTAAATGCCCCGCTCACTAGCAGCACTAGCACCCCTGAGCAAAACGAAAAACAAAGAGATAAATTGAAACGGATCCCAAGCTGCGTACAATTATTTAATTAACAAGTCGAAAACAAGAAAGAAAAAAAACGGAAAACACAAACATAAAATTCTTTGCTAGAGCTTAGTTTATTTTTATTTGTACTTTTAACAAGTCAGTTATAGTAAACGCTTATGTTTTTTTATAGTTTATACCTTTGTTTGTACGGATACATACAAATGTACATATAAACAGAACGATAACTAATTAAACATAATTAAAACATAAAATACCTACTACTTACTTATGTATATGCTTATGTATGTATATCTTAGGTTTAGCACTCTAATTTAAATAAATTGAATTGTTTTCTAATTTTACGTGTTGCAAAACTTAAGAAAAGAGAAACAACAAAAAGAAATTGAATTTAATTTTGAAAAAAACACACACATATATATATATATATATATATACCTTTTTTGAATGGAGTTTGTTTAAAAATTTGTTCTTTTTGTGTGTATTTGTAGTATTATTTCCAAGAAAATGAAATCACATGTTTGAATATGAATATACCGATCACATACACGTACATACACATATATTATGAAGTACACACACTTAAACCATAAAATGCATACAAGTATAAAACACATACTTAAACATATACATTAACATACACATACACATACAGATGCAGATATAAATAATAAATTATGAATAATTTTAAATTGTACTTTTATTTATGTATTTTAATTTGTATGCGTTATATTTAGTTACTATTATCATTATTATTACATTTACTTAACTAATGGTTTAATTTTAAAACAAAACAAAAGTGAAAACAAGCGCATTGTATGAATGATGATTAAATGATGAAAATAAGAGTAAAATGCATATATGAAAAATAATTGCAAAAATACATTTTCTGGTGTTTTTATTTGATTTAGTTTTGATTTGTTACTTTCAACTTTTCAGCGGGCTCTTTATAGAATATATTTCAATTTATGCAAGAATTGTTAAGGGGTATCTACTGCAGAGCATTGATTGTCAAAGAGAAACAAGTCGTTGGAATTATTCAGCTTACAAGCATGAACAAACACTCACCCACACATACGCACACACAAATCAACCACACACAGAATTTATTCAGAATTATTTGCGATATAATCTTTAATTTTATACAATGGAACTGAATTCAGCAAGCACAAGTGCGTTTAAATTGAATTTACATCGTTTTTAAAAATGTAAAAACTAACGTAACGAATATACGTAAATGAAAAGAGAAACAAACTGAAATTTAGATGTTGTATTTTTTTCGGATTACTTTCCATGTTAGTCAAGTGTAAAAAAGTGAGTACCTTTTTTAAGCTCAAGATAAAAGCAAGTGTATGGAAGATGCAGAAATAATTTATCTGTTTGTAATTAAGCATAAGATTGTGAGCTTCTTTCTCGTGCTAACTTCTGATTTATTTACCAGACACTACCTATATATAGCTACAATTGAAACAATCACTCAAACGTATACGAACTTCTTAAAGAATACCCCATTAAAAATTATGCTATTGTTTTGCACGAACGAAAAACTACAAAAAAAAAATTATTTACAAATTGCTAAAGGCAAATGTTTTTTCGCAAGCCGTATTTAAAAATGGAGACAAAACAAAATGCAAATTTTCACTAAAAACTACAAAATTATACGATCTATGCATTGATAGTAATATATTAGACTTAATGGTAGTTAAATAATCAACACAACCATTGACTTGAGAAAAGATTAAACGCAAATTGTACAGAACGCCTTAAATAAAAACCAAAGCATGGAATAAGCGAATGAAGTATACGAGTCTATATATATACATATATAAACTATAAATTACTAGATATATTATTATTAATTTTAGAAAAACCAAGGCATAATTATTATAGAAATGTATGGCATAAGCAAAAGGAACCAAAAGTCAGTTGAATTGAAATAGAGCACTAACGCAAACACCAGATAAGATGCTAGATGTTAACATGTTGAGAGATACCAAGTAGAGACAGAGAGAGAGAGAAATGCAGTGCAGTTCGAATAAATTAGTTGGGAATCTTGAACAATTTTTCATTTCGGGTCATTTTGTCAAAGCCACTTTTAAAAATGAATCTAAGATATTGATATCTAAATGGCGCTCATTAAATTCCCCGACTACATATTGAGTAGACGTATTTCTCTTTCGTGCCAACATGTTAGCAGCTATACAAGCAATTCGCATCGCAATTAAAAGCTTGTACATTGAAATCGCTTAATGATGTTGCAAATATGAATCTTTGAATCTAGATAAAAGTAAGTTAGAAACTCAATTATTTTGTATGTGGTGACCGCTTGCTTGGCATTTTGAAAGTGCCCGTTATGTGTCAGTGTTGATAAGCGTTACATAGAATAAAGACGGAAGGTTAAACAAAAAAAAAAAATTAAATAAACAAAAAAAAATGAAGTAAATGCTAACAACAATTATAAATAATACATATTGTATATGAAATAATTTTAATGCTTTTTATGTTTCAACTTTTTTCGTATCAGAATTTAAATTAAAATGTGATTTTTCTCGAAACTTTAATGTATACGCCGTAAATATTTAATATGATTATTAAGGACGACAGCAACATTTATTACGATGATTATATTTACATACATATATTTAATAAATATTGTACATTTTTGATAACCTCTCATTGAAAATATTTTGTAAATAGCGCAAAAACATTGCATTAATTATAAACGCATGCATGATTAATCATAAACAGAAATTCCGAAAAAAAGAAACTATAATTATAATGTATTTAATGCTAGTTGGTAAAAGCCCAACAAAATGCAACCCTGAGCATAGACTAAAAAGTGCACAAACAAATTATACAACTTCAACTTACCCACGCGACAGCATGGAACATATAGAAGAGCTAAAAAATACAGAGAAAACAAACACACAATCTGAGAGAGAGAGGGAGAGAGAGAGAGAGAGAGAGAGAGATAGAGCGATCGAGCGAGAGATAGAGTGTGCGCTGGATAGGAGTTAGAACAGGAGAGAGAGCTAACTCAATAGTTGAAAAAAATATGCAAAAATAAAAGAAAGCAACAGTAAATATGCAAATTAATATATTTATAATAAAATAAATGTTTGTGCGTGTAAAAACTAACTTTAACTAAATTTCTAGGATTAAATGGACAGCAAACGAAAGCATAAAAATAATTAATTATAAAAATTATACTTAATTATATTGAAAACAAAATTATCATTAACTTAATAAATTAATTGAAGCTTCTATGTAAAGAAATAAAAATCAGAACCCCTAAGATAAGAGCATATTGAAAGGCAAATAGAACAACAACTTGAAGAGAGAGCAAACTAAAAACAATGCAAAAGAAATATGAGAAAGAAATATTGAACATAATTTTCAATTGTAATAAATTATGAAATAAAAGATTATGAAAACCTAATCTCGACTGTCTACATATATTTATATGTGTCAAAAGGGAGATATATATATGGGAACTCTTTGTACTCAAGGCGCTTTGCAACTGACAACTGATGTGGGTGCACGCTCTCACTTTGCCAACTGCCAAGTGTCAGCTGGGCAGCTGTGTGACTATGCTCCGATCCCGATCACAACTGACCCCAGCCAGAGCTCGACCAATGCGTTGCCAATACATCTCGCTCACCTTCCCGGCCGACAATATAATTGAACTATAATTGCCTGGAACTTTCCTGGCGAGCGGGGCACACGCTTCATCGGCGCTGCTTCCGCTCCCGTTTCGTGACCTGCAGACGGTGTTGGAGTAGGCATTAGTTGGTCATCAGTTGATGTGAAGTACATGCACTTCTCGTCTTCTTTCTTTTCTATTTGGCAGCCGCTGCTAATTCCAATTCCAATTCCAATTGAATGGCACAACAGCTGTGCGGATTGCCACGCACCCAGGCACACACACACACACACACGCTTGACCAACAAATTCAATTAATATTAATTAGCCAAGGTGCTGAGCTGGTTGCTTAAGCTGCACGCTGCGCTGAGCGCTGTGGCATATACAACATGCATACACATACACACTCGAACACACACAAATGGACTTTTAATCATTTTCCAAGTGTGAAAATTAGTTGCGTTTAAGTTGCCTATAATTAGTGGCACACACACATTCGACACATTAGACAGTTAGCGGCCCGCTCATTTGTGACACCAACACCTCTGCCTTTTAGTTAGGCTCGCCCCTCGGACCGCCACAGCTGTAATTACTTTTACGAGCTGTTTACAGCTGCTCCAAGTGCCCATAATGCGGTGGCTAACAAAATTTCCGCTGTCAATTTTATGCAAATTTCTTACGTATTTTCCAAAGTTTCAAAGTTGTTCTTTGTCGCGCTGTCCACCTACACAAAGCTCTTCATATTGTACACTTGTGGCAATTGCAGTTTGCTCCGCCCGTTCCCCTTCTCCCTCATTTAGAGGTAATCTGCCGCTGTGTGATGTGCTGTGCTGTGGGCTCCTTTAAGCTTGTTGTTTCTGAAACTTTAATTTATTTTCATTGCGCATTTTGATGCTCGTAATTCCCTCGTTATTGTTGCCGCCTGTCGCCTGCTGATGCTACCTCCTGTTCCTTTGTTGTTCTTGTTGTTGTTGTTGCTATTGTTGCTCTTGTTATAATGTCAGGCTTGGTGTTGGCATCATTACTTTTTGTCATTGTGTTGTTGTTGTTGTTGTTACTGTTGCTCTTGCTTTGCATATGAATATGATTTGAGAGAGAGAGAGCCCCGTTTGGCGTTGCCCTCAACGAAG